ATGATCATCTCCTACATGTACGTCTGGTCTTACCATGTGTAAACTCTGGTCCATGATCATCTCCTACATGTACGTCTGGTCTTACCATGTGTAAACTCTGGTCCATGGTCATCTCCTACATGTACGTCTGGTCTTACCATGTGTAAACTCTGGTCCATGGTCATTTCCTACATGTACGTCTGGTCTTACCATGTGTAAACTCTGGTCCATGGTCATTTCCTACATGTACGTCTGGTCGTACCATGTGTAAACTCTGGTCCATGATCATCTCCTACATGTACGTCTGGTCTTACCATGTGTAAACTCTGGTCCATGATCATTTCCTACATGTACGTCTGGTCTTACCATGTGTAAACTCTGGTCCATGGTCATCTCCTACATGTACGTCTGGTCTTACCATGTGTAAACTCTGGTCCATGGTCATCTCCTACATGTGCGTCTGGTCTTACCATGTGTAAACCCCCCCCCAGGACGACTGTCGTTGTAAATAATGGCTGTTTTACACAAATACAGTCGGGTCCAGTGTTGAAAAGTCAATATTCTAAATGATTGCAATGTTTTCTCCAGAATAAAACCTCACACCAGTCTGAGCCCGTCTGTGATGGAGAAGACTTAATCCTTTTCTGAACCAAAGTCTATAAATAATCCCGTTTCTGTGGCGGCTGTAATTGCGTTTAATCTGATCTTTGTTGGACAGTTTTCTCCTCATTCCACTGCCTTTTATGAGACAGGGTGCATTGTGGGAGATGGAGGCTGTTGTCTCCGTGGCTCTAATCCGTGCTGTGTCGGGGCCTTTGTTCTCTGCTTTGAACGGTGACATCAGACGAATGTGATAGATGTGTTTAAATGTATTTGAATCAGGTTTTATCTGAATTAGCTCCTGTTTAGTGCTGTCACACTCAGGGCTCGTTACGGTCTGATTTAGAGCAGTGTATGTCTCAATGCTGGGCAAATACATCACCTGTGTCTCGTTATAGGCAAGGCAAGGCAAGTTTATTTGTATAGCACAATTCATACACAAGGCAACTCAAAGTGCTGAACAAGAAAGCATTAAAATCATAAATAATCACAGAACATTAAAAAGAAAGATAAAAATATAAAATCCCTCAGTTGTAGCACAGCTAAACAGCACCGTTTTTAACTTGGTTTTAAACATAGTCAGAGAGGAGGCCTGTCTCACATCTTCAGGAAGACTGTTCCAGATTTTAGCAGCATGAATCTGAAAAGCAGCCTCCCCATGTTTAGTTCTGACTCTGGGCACTAACAGGAGTCCAGTCCCTGTGCTCCTCAGAGTCCCAGCAGGAGCCAGTCCCTGTGCTCCTCAGAGTCCCAGCAGGAGGCCAGTCCCTGTGCTCCTCAGAGTCCCAGCAGGAGTCCAGTCCCTGTGCTCCTCAGAGTCCCAGCAGGAGTCCAGTCCCTGTGCTCCTCAGAGTCCCAGCAGGAGGCCAGTCCCTGTGCTCCTCAGAGTCCCAGCAGGAGGCCAGTCCCTGTGCTCCTCAGAGTCCCAGCAGGAGGCCAGTCCCTGTGCTCCTCAGAGTCCCAGCAGGAGTCCAGTCCCTGTGCTCCTCAGAGTCCGGGCTGGTTCATATGGGACTAACATGTCACTAATATATTTTGGTGCGAGGCCATGGATAGACTTGTACACAAGCAGAGCTGTTTTAAAGTCTATTCTCTGAGCCACAGGAAGCCAGTGCAGAGACCTGAGGACCGGACTAATGTGGTCGTACTTCCTGGTTCTAGTCAGGACTAATGTGGTCGTACTTCCTGGTTCTAGTCAGGACTAATGTGGTTGTACTTCCTGGTTCTAGTCAGGACTAATGTGGTCGTACTTCCTGGTTCTAGTCAGGACTAATGTGGTCGTACTTCCTGGTTCTAGTCAGGACTAATATGGTCGTACTTCCTGGTTCTAGTCAGGACTAATATGGTCGTACTTCCTGGTTCTAGTCAGGACTAATGTGGTCGTACTTCCTGGTTCTAGTCAGGACTAATATGGTCGTACTTCCTGGTTCTAGTCAGGACTAATGTGGTCGTACTTCCTGGTTCTAGTCAGGACTAATATGGTCGTACTTCCTGGTTCTAGTCAGGACTAATGTGGTCGTACTTCCTGGTTCTAGTCAGGACTGGAGCTGCTGCATTTTGAATGTACTGCAGCTGTTTTACAGCCTGTTTGGACAGACCTGTGAGCAGGCCATTGCAGTAGTCTAACCTACTGGAGACAAATGCATGGATAAGAATCTCCAAGTCTGCTTTAGACACTATGTTTTTGATCCTGGCAATGTTTTTTAGATGGTAAAAAGCTGCTGATGTTACTGATTTGATGTGGCTATTAAAATGTAAGTCTGAGTCCAGTATTACCCCTAGATTTCTGACCTTGTTTGAAGGTTTTAGGGAGAGAGACTGTAGGTGACAGATGACGCTCTCTTTGTTTCTGGGGACCAAAGACAATCATTTCAGTTTTGTCTGCGTTTAGCTGAAGGAAGTTGTTTTGCATCCACTCACTGATCTGTTGGATACAATGAAGGAGTGAGTCCACTGGTCCATGTTCTCCTGCAGTCAGTGAGACATAGATCTGAGTGTCGTCTGCATAGTTATGATAGGACACTTCGTTTCTGCGTATTAACTGACCTAACGGCAGCATGTAGAGATTGAAAAGAAGAGGTCCCAGGATCGACCCCTGTGGGACTCCACAGGTCAGGGCCATATGATCTGAGACACAGTCTCCAATCTCCACAAAGTACTTCCTGTCTTCAAGGTAAGACCTAAACCAACTTAGGGCGGTGCTAGTGACGCCAACCCAGTTCTCTAGTCTCTGTAAGAGGATCTCATGGTCGACAGTGTCAAAGGCAGCACTCAGATCTAACAGGATTAGGATTGAGACTTTGCCTGCGTCAGTGTTTAGCCGGATATCGTTTGTAACCTTAACGAGAGCAGTCTCAGTGCTGTGGTGGGGTCTAAAGCCGGACTGAAACATATCAAATGAGTTGTTGAATATAAGAAATCTAGTAAGCTGTAGGTAGACAACTTTCTCAAGGACTTTCCCCATAAATGGCAGATTTGAGATGGGACGATAGTTGTTAAGTACCGTAGCATCCAGACTGCTCTTTTTTAGCAGGGGCCTGATGACTGCAGTTTTCAGGGCCTTTGGGAATATTCCAGAATGAAGGGACATGTTTACTATCTGTGTGAGTGAAGGTAACAGACTGCTCAGAACAGACTTCAGAAATCTAGTGGGTAGTACATCCAGGCTACATGTGGAGGAGCTCAAACTGGAGATTATCTCTTGGACATTTTTATCATCTACAGGTGCAAAGTAAGTTAGCTCAGAGAGCCTTTCTGGCTGTTGGATGGTTATCTGTGGATTGGAGACAATGGCGTTTTTGATGCCTTGAACCTTGTCATTGAAAAAATGTGCAAACTCATTACATTTACGTTTGGAAGTTAGCTCTAATGGCATCTGAACAGGGGGGTTTGTTAATCTATTAACTGTTGAAAACAGAACACGCAGATTGTTGCTGCAGCCTTCAATCATTTCAGAAAAATACCTTTCTCTCGTACTACGTAGCACCTGGTTAAACTCGCACAACTATATAGTTATAGTCTCATGTGTCTCGTTATAGTCTCATGTCTCACCTGTGTCTCGTTATAATCTTATGTGTATCACCTGTGTCCCGTTATAGTCTCATGTGTCTCGTTATAGTCTCATGTGTCTCGTTATAGTCTCATGTGTGTCACCTGTGTCCCGTTATAGTCTCATGTGTCTCGTTATAGTCTCATGTGTGTCACCTGTGTCTCGTTATAGTCTCATGTCTCACCTGTGTCTCGTTATAGTCTCATGTCTCACCTGTGTCTCGTTATAGTCTCATGTCTCACCTGTGTCTCGTTATAGTCTCATGAGTGTCACCTGTGTCTCGTTATAGTCTCATGTGTGTCACCTGTGTCTCGTTATAGTCTCATGTGTCTCGTTATAGTCTCATGTGTCTCGTTATAGTCTCATGTGTCTCGTTATAGTCTCATGTCTCACCTGTGTCTCGTTATAGTCTCATGAGTGTCAGGACAGTGCCTGGTTAGTACTGTGATGGGAGACACAGACGGCTGCGGCTGTAAAGTGCCAAACTGTGGTTGTGTCCTTAGGCAAGACACTTCCCCCACATTAGAATGAGTCTGGTGTGTGTGGTTGGTGGTGGGAGGGGCTTCTGTCAGAGTGCCCCAGGGCAGCTGTGGCTACAGTACTTCATCACCTGTGTTTGGAGAGAGAGGAGAATGTGAAGAGACTTTGAGCGTCAGATAGTCCTGTATGAAACTGATGTATTATTATTATTATTACTTGAAAGAAAATAAAAACACACATTTGGCTGAAGGACTGTTGTGGCGTTGATGGTTCCGGTCCACAGAGCCTCGACAAACACGCTTTAAATTACAGCAGCACGGAACACTAACACGCTCTAAAGTTTGATCTATAATACGAGATGACGTGTAATCTGAGGCGCTCCCCGACTACAAAGTGATTTAACGTCTCCGGGGAGCGAGGAGTTACAGCGCATAACGTCATTCTGCACAGAACACCTGCGCTGGGCTTTGAGACGCCGATGAGAGAAACACAGAAGGTCCAGGCTCCACGCTGAGGCCAGGCTTTCTCACGGACGGAACACGGGT